GATTTTGCCAAAAATAGGGCGGATATCACCGGTCAGATCAGCCAAACCCGAGGGGAGAGATACTAATAGGCGGCGACTCAATAGTTATGGGTTACTATAAACTGCCCGAACAAACACAGGAGGCGTTCAAAGTGGACGATCGGGGCGTCCGTTGGTTTTATACGGGAGATATCGGAGAGATGTTCGCCGACGGGACCTTCAAAATCATTGACCGCCGAAAAGATTTGCTTAAATTACAAAACGGTGAATACATTTCGCTCGGAAAAGTAAGTCTATATATCATTGTTATGTTTCCATTGATTTGCAATTTATAATTGGTTTTTAAAACAATCGTAAATGGGTTTAAAAATTATTAATGTTTTAGTGATATAAGTGGAAAATATGTAAAGAATTACGTAATGACCATTGTTAATTACTGGTGAATACCCTCGTTAGTTTGTGATTCTTTATATAGATTCTGTAATTTACATTAATGTTTATGAATTGACAATTGAAATGAAATACAATTAACAACACCTGTGTATAAATAGCATGTTTATCAGAATTGTGAATTGCATAACAATCAATGCATTTCTTTCCAATCATATCAGTAGTAAATATAAACATTCACTTTCTTAAAACAATATTTCATTCATTTTCTTAAATGTAAATATTATTGAATAGTTTTTTATTTGATGTAATCATCAATTTCTCTGAAGTAAAGTCAATGGAGAGAGAGAGAGAGAGAGAGAGAGAGAGAGAAATGAAGTTAGTGGACATCTATTTTGATAAAAACAATAAAATATCCTATTTTTGTATTAACTTCTTGTGATTTTGCCAAAAATAGGGCGGATATCACCGGTCAGATCAGCCAAACCCGAGGGGAGAGAGAGAGACCTTGAGCTTATCAATGATATGTAATTTTGTTAGTTTTCTCACTGAATTTGTTATTTTGACAACTTTTTAGCTATAATTAAAACAAATCTTCATTTTCTAAATGACAAACGCATTGATAATCAATCAATGATACGGTTTATGATTGAATTGATTAGAAATTGTCTGCAAATTAAAACTACACTTGAAATTGAACAAAAATAAAAGTGATTGAAAACATTAAGCAAAATACCTGTAGCTGAAAATCTAAAAATTTAATATACGATATGCGTGTCATTTAAATAAAAAATTTAAACATAAAATTTAATAATTTTTAATCTCCAAACTCTCATAGATCGAGGCGCTGATGAAGTCGTGCCAATACGTGGACAACATCTGCGTGTGTGGCGGCACTTATAGCAATGAGTTGACAGCACTCGTCAGCCCTAACCACAGGAATCTCCAGAAACTGTCGCAAGAGTTGGGCCTAAAAGACGCACAAATCGGTGATCTTTGCCGAAACGTCGACGTTTGCAAACGGGTCTACGCGGCGATCGTACAGACGGGACAGTCGGCAGGCATTAGCAAAAAGGAGATACCGGTGCGGATACGGCTGGTGCCCGACGAGTGGACGCCAGACAACGATATGTTGACCGCAGCCATGAAAATGAAGCGCAAGAATGTCGAGAAACGGTATCAGAAAGAAATCGATGGTCTCTTCGCCGCCAATGATTTACTCAGTATTAATAATAACAATAATAATACCATTAAATTAGACAATAGGGTCTAAAAACAAGACATTAAAAACCGTTTAAAATACAATCGCATTGTCTGTGTATTCATTGGGGGTTTTTTATCAAACATTTTGTTTTTTGCTCAAAATAATTGCATTTTTATTATCTTAACTCTAATTTAATTTGATTTTACGGCCACTAAATCCGAAATGACTTTTTTAGTTTTAATATTATCAAAATTCTTCAACAAACTATTCATAACTAATGTATTTTTATATATATAATATAAGCATAACTTGATTTTACTACTGAAAGAGTTTATAATAATTGAGTTTTAATGTGCAATAAAATCAATTAATTATTTATAATAATAATTTTGTTGTAGATTTTGTATCCGAAATAGTTTTTAGACATTTGTTGTAATATTAATGAAAATTTTTTAGATATGTTTTGTATACAGAATATAATTTATTTTATTATTTGTAATGAACGCTCGCATAAGGTATTTAAATAACTTGTATTTAATATCAAATAATAAATAAAATGTTTATAAATTATAAAAGTGTCACTTTTTATTGAAACACATAGTGTTTATTGATTATAACTATAGCAGCAATCGAGCCATTAGTTTATTCAATTCTTTATGGTAAGCCATTAGGACTACATTCAAATCCCATAATTATATACATTATTTAGTAAACACATTACTTCAAGAAAACATATTAAATAATTATATTTTAAAAAACATAAAATATAAAAATGAATAAATAATCACATATTTAAATATGAGGTAATTCTGCAAATCATTATATTACCGTAAAATCGTGGCTATTACCCGCGGGTTATCTGATGAAAAAAGTGATATTTTTGGAAAATAACTGAGTGCGGGTTATCTGCAAAGTGCGGGTTATGTGATGTCATAAAATGGGAAATTGTTATTTTATTAAAATATTTTATTCATGAATAAATAAAGTTTTATTAAGCTTTAAGCTAAATAAAGCTTTATAACATTACAGTTAAAGATGTTAGTAGTGAAAGTTTGGGTACGTTTAGGGGTCTCAATGAAATTTAGGCTAAATTTAGGCTAAATTTTCAACCAATCTATATTACAAATATTTACTGAATAGATCACTAATTTGTGTAATTTAAACTAAATCAACAACTATTATTAAAAAATACTTAACATAATATTTAGTTAGTCGTAAAGTCATTATTATTTTGTAGTATAGAATTTTAGAATTCATACTTTAAGTAAAATATTCGCAGAATATATAACAGAATTTGCAATAATCTTTAATAAATTTAGAAATATTTAAAGAATCAAAATAATCTTCGTAATTATTTTAAGTGGAAAAGGTTTTAATTACTTTGATGTTGACCATATACATTGTATTTAAAAACATGCCTTTTGTCAATACAAACCGGTTTTAAACTACTAGGGTATAGTATGAAAATTTTGCGGGTTATACGTGAAGTGCGGGTAATCTGTGAATTTTTTTTATTTTAAAATAGTTGCACTTTTTGTTGGTGCGGGTTATACGCGACTGCGGGTAATAGCCACGATTTTACGGTATTACAAAAACAACATAAAATAAATTACTAAATAAAAGTGTATGAGTGGTAAAACATTGACTATTATAACAGTTAGCATTCATAAATGTGATGGTAAAATATTTAAAAAATACAAGTGGATAAAAGGTTTTTACTGTATTATTAATGTGTAGGTGCTATCAAATCCATATATGACCTACATCTAATGCTCAAATACACCTTTATTTCATATACACCTTATCTCATTGTCTTAAGTCATAGCGTAAGACAATTTATAGCATATTTTTGCACATTGAATGCCATTCATTATTATTTGTTACACTATTTCATAATTTAATACTTAAAATATTTAAAACACTTAATAAGTGACTTAAACATAATATAGTATTTAATAAATTAATCTAATTGTGAAGTGAATTGCAAAGAATGCCTATCGACTTATACTACATGCCGGAGTCGCCGCCCTCTCGGGCCGTACTAATGGTGGCCAAACATCTGAACGTTGCCGTCAATATCAAACACGTCAACATCACTGAAGGCGAACAATTGAAACCGGAATTTATCGAGGTATTTCCTATCATTATACAACCATAACATTTATTTTACCATATATTTTACTGTTAATACGGAGCACTCATATAATTGTATTCTTATTAATCATTGTTATATCTATAATGTTGTGCTAATTATTGCATTTGATTTTTAGATAAACCCGTTCCATACGATCCCCACAATAGTGGACGACGACCTGACTCTATGGGAAAGTCGAGCCATTATGACATATCTGTGCAATCAATACGCGCCCGACTCTGCGCTCTATCCCGAAGATCCCGAGAAGAGGGCGGCCATTGATAAATGGCTGCAATTTGACCTAGGATCACTTTATAAAGCCATTTGCGACTATACGGTAAGTGTTCAATTATATTGATTAGCCATTAAGGTGTTTTAGTGTTGTAAATATTTATTTTTACCATGGTTATTTATATTTGCTAAAATATAAATCTAGCCACTTATTGTTAATTATATTTTTACATTGCATAATTTTGATCCTAATTGACCATTATGGATGTATTGAATTTCTACATTGATAAATTTATTTTAAATAGCAATGACAAAACAAAAATGCCAATTACTATCAAAAGCGATTAAAAATCCATTAATTTTAGCAAATATTTATCAATTGAATGCATATATCAGTTAAGGTCGACAATAATTTCGATGACTTTGTTTTGTGAAATCAGTTGTATTAACGGCAATACGAGGCGTGTTTTACTTAACACACCATTAAGTCAATGATAATACAAATACCTGTGCTGTGACTGACATTAGCATGTGGTGATTTTTGATTGACATTTACATTTATTATTTTACGCGATAAAGCATTTGCATTGATAGCAAAGCACACAAAAGTGAGGCCACAATCAGAAATATAAAAAACACTCAAACACTTCATTTACTCTTTCAATCGTTCACTGAATTTAGCGTTTAATTGAGTCTTAAAGATAGTGTGTAAACATATTCTCTCTCTCTCTCTCTCTCTCTCTCTCATATAAATTAGTGACAAAATTTGTTGATAACATATACCGATAGACAAACAATCACTCGAGTTTTTGTAGATATTATTTAACGTCAATTTTTTAAATCAATGCATAAACAGATATCATGTTTCCATACGAACATCATTATTGCACTAAAACAATCATGATGACTTTAGCAAAATTAGTTCACACACTATCACAATTCTAATATGAATAATAATGTAATTACTGATCACCCAAATAGGACCCAATGTGGACGGGTAGCATAAAACTGGACAAACAGAAAGAGCAGACTCTGTGCGCGGCGTTGGAAGTGTTGGACAACCAGTTGTCGGCCAATAAGTACGTGACGGGCAAAGTGTTGACTCTGGCGGACCTGTCGATCATCAATGGTATCGACTATTTGACTGACGTTATGGAGTACGACATCACTAACCATAAGGACTATAAGTTTGTGGCCGGTTGGCAGGCGAGGCTCAAACGCCGGGAACTTCCCTATTATCGCGAGATATGCGAGGATGGGATCGAGAATTTGAGAAATTTTGTGCGAACCCTAATCCAGAATTCAAACACTAATCCGGCGGCTAAATGAGATTGTGTTTTGCTCAAAACAACCATGCTGCCTTTTTATCCTAAGCTCATTTAGTGTAATGCCAGACATTTATCGCTTATATATTGTGTCGCCAATGAATTGCTAATTCATTGAGAGTTATATAAGATTATTATAATTATTGCATTTATAATAGAAATATTATTCTTGTTATCCATATGTTTTTAGAAGAAAATAATAAATATTATATTTTATTGACTTTGTTTACTAAATTCTACATTAAGCAAGATTAAAATATTTTCAATTGTTAAAATTAATTATATAAAATTGATAATAAGTATATATGGTTTAGACAAACAAATAATTTAAGAGTTATTTTAAGTATCATCAAGTCTTTCGTTCAAAAGTTACAGTATTACGTAAGTATACAATGAGTACAACGAATATCAGTGCAATAATGGCCATAAAGAGTGAACCTATTTTGTTGTAATGTTAAGTTTAATTGTATTTGACATTTATGTTTTCTATGAGAGACAGACCCAAACATATCAGACAGTGTTTTACTTTGTATTTATAGTCTCTCTTTAGGCCCCGGGATTCCAGTGCTTTGATTTCAATGTTAAATAGTTGTAAATTATTTGAACTGATTTTGTAAATCATTTCCGTCGACGCGTTTGTTATGTAATCCAGCGATGAGTTGACGTTGGGTTTCATTGTCTCTACTGTTTAAATAGATTTTATAATTTACATACTTTCATGATAACAATAGGAAATTCAATGTTTAATAACTTACGAGTCATATAATTAAAAACAAACAAATTGAGACAATATTTTAAAAAGTTTTTACTTGTTTTGAACGTAAACTTTAAACAGAAGTGTATTTTAATTGTTGTTCAAATGGTATGATTGATACGCAAAACGTTTTTATTTTAACAGTTAATTAAACATACATTAGTAGAGGTTTATTACTAATTTGTTTTTATCCGTTTGTCTTATCAAACAAAAACTTCATTAAAAATTGATGGATAATTACTTTTTAACAATTTGATTATTTAAATTAATAGATATTATTAACATTGTTAAAAAATTGAATATTTCTTCTTGTAATTTAAAACTTTTCAATAAGACTTAAATTCCGTTCACATTATATTTGAAATAAAATTCTTAAATTATTGCACAAAATGAAGAGTAAAATACAAATTATATAAAACACTTGTAATATTATCTATTTTTAAGAAATTTAGATTACAATCAAAATTATATGTAATTTATAGTAATTTAAATTAGTAAAAATATATACAATAAATTTATAATACAGTATTGTAATCAAAATATGCAGTTTTCATAGAAAAACGATAAATATTTACACATGTTTTGCATGATTTAAATGATTTTATTAATAACAAAAATGTTTATCTCATTTGTATGCTTAAAGTTTCCATTATTTTTCATATTTACTCTCATTTTTGTGAGAAAAATGCTGAATATTTTAATAATTTTTACGACATTTTAAATTTAAAAATAAATTTATTTATTATGAAATTACTATTAAAATATTTGATTATAATTAGGATACATAATGGTAATCATTCTCCTATTATACTTATAATGTAGATTATTTGTTTAACAATTTAGTACAAAATTGTTGTCTAGTACTTGCAATATTGTATTTAATTTAAATTATAAGTTTAATTGCATTTTTAGTACATATAACACAATAAATAATTTCATTACTAATTGACTTATTTAATCAGATTTTAACATTTTATCACAAGAGACATAACCAATCAATTGAAACAAATACAGTACTTTGGAGAAAGAAAATCTGTTCAAACAATTAACTTGTTTTACAAATCCATTAATATAAAAACAATGTCATTAGTATATCAAATGAACATATCATCGAAGAGATCAGATAGATATAGCCCCAAAAACAACGAGATATGTCTTCATTAGTCCTATTCTTCCAAGTCTTATGTCTATCATTGGCTTTGATTGAAATCAAAGCATTTGTTAGACATTCTGATCAACGTATGGATGGATACGAAGAGAATCGAGAAATGAGAGGATCGGGTGAAGACCGGGAGGACCGACACCGCCATCACCACCACCGACACCACCACAAAGAGGGCGAATTTGGTGAACCCAGACATCACCACAGAGAGGGAGCAATGGGTGAGCACAGGCATCATCATCACCGAC